ATACAAATATGATATATAATAATTAGGTGTTGATGATTTTTACAAAGGTTGGGACTGCGCTGTTCTTGTAGCAGTCAGTTCGTGCTTGTATGGGCTGGATGCGGTTGGGCAGGTGTGTGGCCACGTGGCCAGGACAGTAGCTTGGGGCAATGCAGGTGTGCTCCATCCTTCAGGTTAGGTCAGGTGAAGCCGTGAGGTCAGGTCAGATTCAGCCACAATCAGTATTGCTGTGTTTTTGTGCTTTTCCTTCGAGTTGAAATTGCCACTTTTGTATATCACTTGTGGGTTAATCGTCAATCTTTGCACTGTACTGTTGGTGTGAGGACGTTGATAAATCCAGATGGGAAAGAGGAGATGGGGAGGGCCCGACACACCGGGCTGGCAGCTGTCTCCATGATCAAGAGCCCACGGCCGTGTGTGTGTGTGATAATAATAAACGGTTTATTAATAGAGTTGCAGCCGGTGGCTGAAAATATACAGACATACATTTGATTTAGACATAATGATATAATATGCATTGAATACATTTACAGGGCTGTACAGTACATAAATCTGGAGTTGTTTATTATTTTAACAATAGATGGGATGGTGCTGTTCTTATATCTATCGGTGCGGGCTCTTATGGGCTGAATTTTCTTGTAGTGGCGGACTGCACGAGTTGGGTGGGGGGCTGCAGGAGGTGGCGATGGCGAGGGTGGTGTAGTAGTCCACGGCCAAACCTTTCCAGTGCTTGGTGGTGGTGGTGGTCACTGAGGGATGGCATTTCCAGGGTGGAGAGAGTGTTGGTGTAGCCGGAGTATTCTGCGCCGAGCATGATTCTGCAGGCCCTTTTCTAGCTGTCGTTCTTGGGTGGAGTTGAGAGACGACGACTAGGCTGGTGACGCATACGTTAGTTTGGGGAGAATAAAGGCGTTGTAGATGGTCCTCAGCTCTGGCGTGTGTGTGTGTGTGTGTGTCCGTGTGTGTGTGTCCATTGGTACTTACGACCTGCTTTGACCGTACGTCCGTCGGGACATACGACCGCGGCAGTCGTGACCAAAAATATTTTCAAATGACGCGCGCATTTTCTATACCGAAACGTTTCCGTCCGGGGCGAGTGGGTGGCGCGTCTCGGGTCGCCTCATGGGTACACTCACTCAGTGGAGCGCTTTGTTTGTGTTTGGCTATCGTATCCTATACTGATCGCGCTGTGAACTTTCGTTATTATCGTATTTAATTGACTTTATAATGACTGGAAAGCGTAAAAGTGAGAGTGCTGGTGGTGTTCCAAGGAAAAGGAGACAGGCAATTACTTTTGAGATTAAAATGAAGATAATAACACAGCTTGAGAATGGAAAAACAGTAGCAACAATCTCACGCGACCTAGGTTTCTCACACTGGACTATATCCACTATTCTGAAGGACAAGGAACGTATTCGTGAGGTAGTGAAAGGAACACCTATAAAGGGAACTATAATATCAAAGAGAAGACAAGGTCCTATTCACGATATGGGAAAATTATTGGTGATATGGATAGAAGACCAGATACAGAAGTGTGTACCCTTAAGCGTTCTAACCATACAGGCTAAAGCAAGAAGCCTGTTCCAAAGCCTGAAGGAGCAGGCAGGAGATGAATGTGATCAAACCTTTACAGGAAGTCATGGGTGGTTTGATAGATTTAAAAAACGCTACAGTCTACACAATGTTAAGGTGAGTGGAGAGGCAGCTAGTGCCGATGTTGGTGCTGCCGAAGCTTTTAAGGAGGAGTTAGATGATATGATTGTGGAAGGGAATTATTTGCCTGAGCAAATATTCAATGTGGATGAGACTGGATTATTGTGGAAGCCCATGCCTGAGCGGACATACATCCACAAAGAGGCAAAAACAATGCCCGGATTCAAGGCATTCAAGGACAGAATTACACTTCTGTTGGGGGGGAATGTTGCTGGTTTCAAGCTAAAGCCCTTCATGATCTATCATCCAGATAACCCCAGGGCTTTTAAACATGTCAGCAAGCAGACACTGCCAGTGTTTTATCTCGGTAACAAGAAAGCCTGGATGACCCTAGTACTTTTGAGGATTGGTTCATGACTTGTTTCATTCCACAAGCCAAGGAGTATTGTCTGCAACAACAGATTCCATTCAAGATTTTACTGATTTTGGATAATGCTCCGGGACATGCACCCTCATGTTAAGGTAGTGTACATTCCACCTAACACTACCTCTATCATCCAACCCATGGATCAAGGTGCTATTGCTGCCTTTAAAGCGTATTATTTACACACGACCTTCGCTCAGGCTGTTGCTGCTACTGAAGGTGAGAAAACGCTCAGACAGTTTTGGAAGGAGTACAACATTTTGTCATGTATAAAGAACATTAGTACAGCATGAGATCAGGTTACAAAACATTGCATGAATGGAATATGGAAGAAAATCCTGAAAAGATATGTGCACAGTTTCAAAGGATTTAATGAAATTGAAGTTATTTTGGATATTAGTAACAAGTTAGTGGAGTTAGAAATTGATCCTGAAGATGTTGGACAGTTGGTTGAAAGTGTAGCAGAAGAGCTCAGTAACGAGGATCTTATTGAACTAGATGCACAGAAAATTGCAGAGGAAGAAGAGACAAAATGTAGAAGAACCTGCACCCCCTAAAAAGTTTTCAGTGAAACAAATGGCAGAGGCATTTGCTACAATTAATAAAGCAATGCAAATGTTTGATGACATGGATCAAAATTATGAGCGTTATGCCAAAGTTGACAGAATGATCCAAGATGCACTTGCTTGCTACAGAGAAATTTATAATGAAAAGAAAAAGCAAACTGTGCAGTCTAAATTGGACATCAATTTCAAGAAGTCCCCCAGTGCTGTCTCCTCATGCCCCACCAGGTGCTGCCTCTTCACTCCATCAAGATGAACCAATACCTTCAACCAGCAAGTTTTCACAGCACATAAACCTGTCTGAAGAAAGCGACATTGATGACCCACCCAGCCCTGTCTCCTCTTCTGCTTCTTCCAATTAATATAGTCTCCATGTATCCTGTAAATAGAAAATTATGGGGGCCCTGTGCATTCAGCTGACTACATTTAAGGTAAGTGCTCAGTCACACTGTATCCATTCCTCATTATTTATTACGTTTAGTGTACTGTATTTCATTGTAGATTTTTAATTTTTTTTTATTTATTTATTTATTTATTTATTTTTTTATCTATGTCGGACTTACTACCATGTCGGAGTTACGACCTGGATTTGGGTCCCTAACCCCTTCGTAAGTCGGGGTTTAGCTGTGTGTGTGTGTGTGTGTGTGTATATATATATATATATATATATATATATATATATATATATAATATATATATATATATATATATATATATATATATATATATATATATATATATATATATATATATATATATATATATATATATATATATATATATATATATATATATATATATATATATATTCCCCACTGAATGAATGGGTTAGGTTCCACTTAAATGTTTTTATTAGGTGGGTTATGTTCATCGAAACCAGTTTTCCCCGTATAAATTAATGTAATAAGGGAGGACGTGCTCCTGAAATAACTTCTGTGATAAATTAATATACAGTACTGTACTAAACTCTGTGACAGAATAATTGCAACACATCAAAGTACTGAAGATCAAAATATTAAACCATGAAAAACATTAAGGTACATAAACAGTTATCAATTGTTGTTTGTGGGAATATTAATTTATTCACTAGTAATGGTACAATGTTTCTTATTTTGTTATCATAGGAAAATGCATGGTTTATATAATTCATTTATCACTGAGCCTGTCACCATTTTCTAATTAGACTACATACAAGATATGTTTTTCTCCCATACGTATGCCTGGCCATCCTGGCAACAGGAATGGGTAAGGGGAGTGAATGACCCCTTGTTGAGTGTCATCTGCAGTTGTAACTCTCCTCATGCTCTGCCATATTTCACTGGATTTATTGTTATTATTAGTGTTTACTGATAGAATAGTGATTAATCATGGCATTGTAGCTAGGTTGGAATCATCACTATAACCACCAGGTTAATAGGCCAAGCTGTGAGGTGTTAGCTGGCTCAGTTGGGGAGGGGAGTAGGGTTCAGGGTGAAGGGGGGGGAGCATTGCTAGGGAGTCAGAGGAGGTACCTCTGTTACTATGAGGACTTTGTTAAGCTTTCATTTGGTTTTACTGGTTTAGCAATACAGTAGTTTTTCTTGTACAATATTGTATCATGAATGACAGTCATAGCAGAATGTCGGTGAGATGCAGTGGGTGGGTGGTGGTGGTGGTGAGGAGGAGGAGGAGATGATGCATCAGTCGGTTTGTTTGGTAACACTGGTTGCCTGGAGTGTATACAAATGGCGACTGTGCTAAACTTTCATTTGGCTTTTATTTACTCGTTTAGCAGTACAGTAGTTTTTGTTGTACATTATTGTATCATGTATGACAGTCATAGTTGAATGAGTGAGAGGCAGAATGTGGTGAGATGCAGAGGGTGGGTGGGTGAGTGAGTGGGAGGAAGGAAGGAAGGTGGTGGTGGCGAGATGATGCGTCAGTCGATTTGTTTGGTAACACTGGCTGCAGGACTGCCAAACACAAGTGAACAGGTGATGTCTACCCACAAAATTGATTGTAAGTATAAATGAACAAGGTCGTGTTCCTTCTACATTACGTTATATAAATTTTAAATTATGGATTGAGAATAACAAATAAACAATGCACAGTATTGTACAATATTGTACTATCATGAATGAGTCATAGGATGAGTAAGAGAGGCACTGTCGGTGAGAGCAGTTGGTGGAAGGAAAGTGAAATTATGATTTAGGTGATGATAATAGAGGTAATGGAGCTGGTGGTGACTTACCTTTCGTAATAGTAGAACATTCTTTCATTAATTGGCAAATGGGTAGTAAAAACCTGCTTTCGTTATATAAATATAGTACAGGTATTGCATTAAGTTGATTTAGAGATTTACTAAACATTTTCAATTTCAGCAAGAAGACTTGGTAAATTTGGGTAAGCTTATGGTAGCCCTCGCATGCAATTCGGTGCTAGCCTTACAACGAGACAATATCCAAACTGCCCTTGAGCTAATCAATCGCTCCTATTCACGTGACTTAGCGATGCTGGTGGTCTGTCTTCTAACCTCTCAGCGCATCAAGAGTATAAATGATGTTATGCCAATGATAGGAGCAAGGTAATTACTGTGGTTACTTTTATTATCATGGGTTTACATTATAAATCAGGTGTTTTTTCCCCCATATATATATATATATATTATATATATATATATATATATATATATATATATATATATATATATATATATATATATATATATATATATATATATATATATATATATATATATATATATATATATATAAAGTGAACCCTCACTTTACGCGGTCAATTGAACCCACGGAAGCCCGCGTAAAGCGAGAAACGCGTAAAGTGAACAACATGGGGTTAAATGAAATAGAGACCGGCTGACCCCCAAACTCCACTTTTTCCGACACAATACCTATGTTCTAGTAAAAATAACAACTTAATTTTATGATGGTACATGCACACAATTAATACTTGGGAGAAATAGAGAAATACAGTCGCCAAGTTAATGTCCATTCAAATAATGGACTCAACTCCCTCCCCCTCTTCTCACACTCGCTGGCTCTTTCCTCTCTGAGAAATGTTTGGGGGAAACCACTAGATTTTAAGGTATAGTAATAAATAATACCTCAAACTAAAGTTAGGATAATATAATTGACATTGCTGGATTCCTTGTAAGACCAGGAATATTTTGAATATAAATGTCATATATTTTGCACAAAAGATAACATATTTACTCAGAGTAAACAAAATACTTACATTAGATCTAAAATTTGTATGTCTAATGCAAAATCTATGATGTTTATATTCAAAATGATCATCATATTGTAAGAATTCCAGCAATGTAAATTATATTCTGGCCGGGTAATTTGTATGAATTTTATGAGCTAAAACAAATATCTTCAGTTAATAAAAAAAAAATATATTCTTCACGACACTATCTGTCAATCAAAACACCCCACCTTGCCTCCCCCCCTCTTCCAACCTCGCCAGATGGTCGGTTGGTCCCTCCCTCCCTACCAGAGAAATGTTTGGGAAAAACCAGAATATTTACCCTTTTAGTAATAAATAATACCTCAGACTAAAGTTAGGATAATATAATTGACATTGCTGGATTCCTTGTAAGACCAGGAATATTTTGAATATAAATGTCATATATTTTGCACAAAAGATAACATATTTACTCAGAGTAAACAAAATACTTGCATTACATCTAAAATTTGTACAGGTAGTTCTGCTATAACGCGATAATTGTGTTCTTGTAAAATATCGTGTTATAGAAAATCGCGTAATAGAAATAACAGGGCTTATGGAGAAAATAGGGTTAGGTGCAGATTACTCGAAATCGAAAAAATTTAGTAGTTAGCCTAACACAAAGGATAGCACAGTCTAAATAAATGTTACATTCATATCTAATAATGAAATCATACAGTAAATGTAACACTTTACTTGATGGGGGAGAAGGGTGATTTTGAGGTTGATAAAATCGAGCTTCTCTTCTAGTGTTATATCCTTTCTTTTACGATCATCACCAGGAATTTTATCACCGGAACGCTTCTTGTTGATATTCTTCTTTACTATATTCACAAAATTGGAGAAATAGTAAGCAAAAATCGCGTTATAGCAAACAAGCGTTCGCGTTATACAAATATCGTTCCTAATTCATAAATCGCGTTAGAGCAAATTCGCGTTATCAAAACACGCGTTATAGCAGAAATCACTGTATGTCTAATGCAAAATCTATGATGTTTATATTCAAAATGATCATCAAATTGTAAGAATTCCAGCAATGTAAATTATATTCTGGCTGGGTAATTTGTATGAATTTTATGAGCTAAAACAAATATCTTCAATAAATAAACAAAATATACTTGCTGAAATACTATCTGTCAATCAAAATACCCCACCACCCCCCCTCTTCCCACCTGCTCCCTGGGTCCCTCCCTCCCTCCCTACCCCTCACCCCCACCTTCCCTCCCTACCAGAGAAATGATTGGGTTATAACAGTATATTTACATTTTTAGTAATAAATAATACCTCGGACTAAAGTTAGGATAATATAATTGACATTGCTGGATTCCTTGCAAGACCAGGAATATTTTGAATATACACTTCATATATTTTGCACAAAAGATAACATATTTGCTCTGAGTAAACAAAATACTTGCATTAGATCTAAAATTTGTGTCTAATGCAAAATCTATGATGCTTATATTCAAAATGATCATCAAATTGTAAGAATTCCAGCAATGTAAATTATATTCTGGCCAGATAATTTGTATGAATTTTATGAGCTAAATAAAAAAATTTACTTCACCCACGTATATGAGTAGATGCACCGTGTAAAGTGGGAATTCCCGGTTCTGGCAGGGTACTGCGTAAATGTAGAAATGCGTAAAGTGAAACCGCGTAAAGCGAGGGTTCACTGTGTGTGTGTGTGTATATATATATATATATATATATATATATATATATATATATATATATATATATATATATATATATATATATATATATATATATATATATATATATATATATACATATATATATATATATATATATATATATATATATATATATATATATATATATATATATATATATATATATATATATATATATATATATATATATATATATATATATATATATATATATATATTGTACTTTTTCATGTGAAGTCTAGGAAACCAATTCTAGCAGTGGTAGAAGAGGTTGAGTAAGGTTATTTGATAACTGGAGAGGAATGTATACTTTTATTGCTCAGTAAACCTCAGGCTGTTGCCCATGACCAAAGTGCAAAATATGTGTAGGGCGAATTTATTTGATTCACATATTTTTAAATGCCCACTACACGTTTATTTACTGTATACTATCAGTCATAGAGTTTGCTTCCTCTTACTTATTGCCACTTTAACTTCACATGGAAATGTACTGGACTTCCATATTGTAAGGGTTGGATATGAAATTTCCAAAATTTACTTGATTTTCTTATTTTGAGATGCCTTACATCATTAACAATATCAACCATTGATATGTTCAGAGTTAGTGAGTTTTAGTTTTTTAATCCATGAGGCTTTTGTGACAACAGATGGCTAACATTGTCATTAATTATGAAATAAGTCAATGTGGTTACTGTAAGTAGATTGATTCAGCTGTATCTAGTTTTCTTCAGCTACTTACTTTTATAAATATTTTCTCTTTTATATTGATTTTTTATATCAGAACTGTGGCTTTTTACCATAATGGCTTATAATTGTTAAAATGAAATTGTAGATATGATATTTATGATGTGTGTATATATATATATATATATTTTATATATATATATATATATATATATATATATATATATATATATATATATATATATATATATATATATATATATATATATATATATATATATATATATATATATGCAAGTAAATCACTGTAGGTGCGCGTGATCTAAGTATATGCTGATAACCACAAGGAAAAAGAAAACACGAAGTTCCCAAGCGCTTTCGTGTAATTCACATCTTCATGGGTGAGTACAGACTAAAGATAAATACATAACAAGGCAAATATATATACAGTAGAGGAGAGTGAGATCAAGTCCACAATAGTAAGGTTATTAGGTAGTGACCCTACTAATCTTGTAACTAGATTTAAACAACATAAATATAGTGTTAGGACAGGCCAGGAATCCTATGCTCTGTTTGTTCATTTGAGGGATAATAAGCATTGCATTGACTGGGATAATGTTTCCTCAATATTACCTTGTAATTCAATTGACAGTAGGAACATTATAGAATCCAGTCTCATTAAACATACCAAATCCGTCAACATGAATTTGAGTAATGGTATGTACAAACTGGATAATTTCGTAATTAAGAAGATTTGTAACTAGGTGAGAAGGTTGGGTCATCTTACCCTCTGACCTGACTACCGACTGCTGCGGTGCTTTTTGAAGATTAGTAGGGTCACTACCTAATAACCTTACTATTGTGGACTTGATCTCACTCTCCTCTACTGTATATATATTTGCCTTGTTATGTATTTATCTTTAGTCTGTACTCACCCATGAAGATGTGAATTACACGATAGCGCTTGGGAACTTCGTGTTTTCTTTGTCCTTGTGGTTATCATGGTTATCAGCATATATATATATATGTATATACTGTATATATATATGTATATATATATGTATATATATATATATGTCTATATATATATATATGTATATATATGTATATATATATATATATATATATATATATATATATATATATATATATATATATATATATATATATATATATATATATATATATATATATATATATATATATATATATATATATATATATTATCCAGGTTCTATACGGCACTAGAAACAGCCACACAGAGAGCTGACACATATGAATCTGAGATCTCAAAAGAAGTTCACAACGGGCGGCTTTTCCGTCTCCTTACGAAGCTAAACACCATTGTTGATCGACCACAGTAAGTTCACTGTTTTCTTCTTTTAACAAAATTGATTGTAACTTTGAAGTTCAGTGTTTAATGTGAAATTTTTTTGTATTTTAATTATACTCTTTCCCTTGTGGCTTCTAATTTATTGCATCACTGATAAAGCATGGGAGTGCTCCCACTAAAGTCATAAACAGCAAATCATGATTTAACATTTTGGTTTAGCTTACTTAGAAACTGTCTTTTGACAGACTCCACCTTGATACATCTTGGAGTGAAACAGGAGACCGATACATGCTGAAGCTCTTCAGAGATTATGTGTTTCATCAGGTGAGTGCTTGTGTTTTCTTGGTAAACTGGAATATTACTGATTAGAAGTGTCGCTACCACTACATGTTTTTAGCAAAAGATTTAACACCAATTGGATGTGAAAAGGTCAGGATTCTAATAAAACTTCATAAAATTGGGTTAGACATATTGTACAGTACAGTATGTGAGTGTGTTAAGGGGAGCATCCAGTTGAAGCACAAAATTTTTTAATCGATATCGGTTTCCTGTCGACAATTAAGGACACCAGATACATCGTTGCTATTATAGCATACCCGTGAATCGGTTCTGCCTAATCTCTAATCCTTGATTTTTCCCTTATATTTTTATAAATTTCAAAAATCCTACTTCTCCATAACTTCTTGCTAAATTATGTTAAAATTCATATGGAGTACGTAAAGGTAATTTACTCTTAAAGATAACATATAGATATTTTTGATTATCGCTTTTGTTTTGTGTGCATGATTTTTTTTCCAACCTGACCAGTTTTTCCTCCAAATAATTTATGAAGATAAATCAGCAAATAATAAACCAAGACAAATATAAAAAAAATCCTATATGTTAAG